CTCAGCCCCTAGAGCCTGGCACTTTGAATTTGGACTTAAAGCCTGGTCTTCTTGTAAGCATATGGACATTATCCTATCACTGACAACACTATACCTCAAGATAGATCTTGAAATGTTCTTTTTGATGATGTATATGATGCCATTCCTCTTCAATTTGTCATTCCCACCATACCATCCTCACAACTGAACTAATAAGTGCTATCACAATAAATGGAGAAAAGATAGAGATTTCATTTTACTTGGATCCACAATCAATGGCCATGAAAGCAGCAGTCAAGACATCAGATGATGTATTGCACTGGGCAGATATGCTCCCAAAGGTCTCTTAAAAACATTAAAGATCAAATACATCACTTTGAATACTAAAGTTTACCTGACCAAAGCCATGGCATTTTCAACAGAGAAATGAAGTCTGGCCATTCTTGCTTCCAAGTTGTGTTCAGGCCCTACTCTATCCAAGACAGACTTGTTCACTCTTCTGGTGGTCCATAGTATTCTCCACCAACATCACAATTCAAATGCATCAATTCTTCTCAGTGTCCAGCTCTCACAGGCATAGGAAGCTATTGAAAATACCATGGCTTGAGTCAGGCACACTTTGGTCTTCAAAGTCTTTAAAGAAGTCTTTTCCAGCAGATTTGCCCAATTCAATATCTCCTTTGATTTCTTGACTGCTGCTTCCAAGGGTGTTGATTGTGGATCCTGCCCCTGCTAACCATTTATCAACTCTGATCTCCAGACATTTGCCTTTTCTTGTCTTTTTATATAAGTTAGATCATACAATATTTATCCTTTCCCGATTGTTTTGTTTCACTCAGCAAAACGTGTCCCAGTTCCATCCACATTGTAGCATGTATCAAGACTTCATTTCTCCTACTGGTTTAGTATTCCATTGTATGTATGTACCATATTTTTTTAATTCATTCATCTGTTGGGTGTTGGGCATTTGGGTGTTTCCACTTTTCGGTTATGTATGAACATTGTGTATAGCTTTTGGAAGTTGTTCTCTTCATTATAGCGTAGAGTTCCTTTTAACTTTTTCATTATTTATTCTATGAAATTTTATATTATATTCTCTAATTGCATCTTTGGTATAGTGCCTGCCCCCCTCATTAGACCCTGACTTTAAACCCAGTGCTTTCCACTGAACATTGTATCCAGCTTTATTTTAACTCAGGATGATTTACATTAACTTTTAAAATCAGAATAAAGTCCAACCACACCAGTGATCTGATCCCTTCTCTTCCCCAACAGAAAAAAAACTTGGCCTAGTTCCCATTTAGCTTTCATAATTACCCTTTTTGGAAGTGACTTGTGTCCATTGAAGAAGCAGAAACACAGTTCACTTAGATAGTACGTGAAGACCCATTGTTGCCTGCTGGTGAGCTACTGCGGACAGAGACATTCATTCACAGAGCAGGTCTTCAAGCCGGTTTATTTGTTAACATATGTAACTAGTGTTGGTAAACAGTTACTTCGGTGGTTTGCTTGAAGATTTCTGGCTTTCTTATTCAGCAGGGGGCTGGGAAACTGCCGATACTGCTTTGCAGAAGTGGTTTAATTGGGCTGATTGAAGAGAAAGTGGGGTAGGATCAACACCCATCTAGCGAAAACCAACATTTTTAGTATTTGGAAGTATCTCTGCAAGTTGTTGTGCTTCTGCTTGAAGATTAACCCTTCAGCTCGATGGCCTTTCAGGAGCTCTTGGAAAAAGCAGGAGGTCTGGGGAGGTTCCAAATCCTTCAGATGGCTTTCCTTATAGCATCCATTGCACTAGCGAGTCCTCACAGTCTGCTGGAGAACTTCACTGCAGCCATCCCTGGTCATCGCTGCTGGGTTCAAGTTCTGGACAACAACACTGTCTCTTTTAATGGTACTGAGATCCTGAACTCAGATGTCCTTCTGAGAATCTCCATCCCCCTGGATTCAAACCTGAGGCCAGAGAAGTGTCGTCGTTTCCTCCACCCCCAGTGGCAGCTCCTTCTGCTTAATGAGACCTTCCCCAACATGAGTGAGCCAGATACAGAGCCCTGTGTGGATGGCTGGGTGTATGACCGAAGCGTCTTCTCTTCCACCATCGTGAATGAGGTGAGAGGCTCCATTAATGTTTTTGAGTGTATGATAATTTGCTCTTTGGAAATCACATGAAAAATGCCCAAATTCATAGGGGCTCATTCTTACTCCAAGCCTTTGAAAATTTCTAGGTATTACCATGCATAACCATGATGGAGAACTGTGCCATGTGAAGTATTACATGATAAGTTAATGCATAGTAGGAATGGCTTCTTGGAGAATATTATATTTAAGCTAAGATGCAAAGAATATGTGCTAGTTAATGGAGTATGGTGGTTAGTTAGAGCAAGAAAATACAAAAAGGCATCCAGATAGAACAGACTGTTGGAAGCTTGTGAAGTGAGAAGGTAGTGTTGTTTTTAAAGAGCTGAAAGAGTGTCAATATTCATTGAGTGTAGGATGCTAGATAGGGAGGGTGGACAAGGGGTTGGTGAGCAGCATCCAAATAGCAGAGAACCTTGCAAATCATGTAAGGAGGTTTGAATCAGGGGCACCTGAATGGTTTTAAACTAATCCAAAGCTGTTACGTGCTGCTTCATTCTCTTTCAGTGGGACTTGGTGTGTGGCTCTCAGATTCTGAAATCAGTGGCTCAGTTCATTTTCATGAGTGGAGGCCTGATAGGAAGCTTCATATGTGGCTGTCTCTCAGATAGGTGAGTGTCAAATTTTTTTTTTTTTTTCAGGCTTGTTTATCAGCTCATGTATTTACTCCTTCATTCATCAAACTTTTATTGTCTGGCTCTGGGTTTGATTCTGACCTTCCCACAGGAACTTACAGGCTAATGCGAGGGGTAGATCAGTAAACTGGAAATGAGAGTTGGTGTCATAGTCAGAATTGGAAGTGCTATATTCATGGAGGGGAAGGAAGGGACAGAAGGGTATCAGGAAAGGACTTTCAGAGGAGATATTTTACACAAGGTTAAGGTAAAAATGTGAAACAGCATCTTAAAACTTACCCATATCCAGATTCTTCCATCCCTGTGATGCAAGAGCTAAATAATTGTAATGTCACAGAGACTGGTCATCATTTCATATCTGCAAAGTAGCTACACTGGTACGATGGGTTGAGATCATTATAAAATTAGTTTGGTGGTAGCACAAATGTACTTGTGTGTACCATGGATGTAAATTATTGGTGAGATGTTAGTTACAGACAGTTTTTGCAACCAAATGAGGTAAACATGGAAGGCTCTTTCATAGCTAGGAGTGTAGGAAACTCAGAGCATTCAGGTTTGTGCTTTCCATGACCTGGAGCTCCTAGTTTGAATAAGCAGGTACCGACTAATTTCTTTGATAAGAATCAGCACAAAACTGGGTCCTGTGAGGCAGAGATTAAAGATGTCCCAAATGTCCAACTTCTCCAAACTGTTGTATCACTCTGTCATCTCTGACATCAACTACTCCACCTTTCCTCAGTACTCTGTTCCATCTATGGATTTGACAATTTGCTGCAATATTTCACAGAACTCACAAACGGTACTTAACACTTAAGTGCTTTATTAGGGAAGTAACGGAGTACAACTCAGGATCAGGATCAACTTGGAAATAACAGAAACAATTCTGGATACATTTCTTTGATCAGGACAGCTTCTTCTCGTCCTCTGTCACCAGGCCCTGCTCGGAGACTTCTTGGCAAGCATTACAGCTCTTAGCTTCATAGGCTGGCAAGCCGCACTGCAGCCATCTTGTGCCCATCTCCTGGCTCCTGCCTTCTCACACTGCTGTGACTCTTGCAGCTACCATGGAACTGTCTCTTGCTGTCTTCAATGTCACAACTCCTTCTTCTCTCTCTCTCTCTGTCTCCTTCTAAAACCCTGTCAGGGAAGCTGGTTACATAGCAAACTCCTTATCAATTTCAAAGCTACTCCCCTTTCCCCCAGCAAGACCACTAACTAACCAATTCCCTATAAGTGTTTCATGTACCTTATTTATATTAGTCACTCCCACAAAAGGGTTCCATGCACCTTATTTGCATTAGCAAGCTATTTGATCCCCACATGCACCTAATTTGCATAGTTCCGTCCAATCGTGTTGTGGGAGTTATAAGACCATGTGTGGCTAGAAGGACCATATTAAATAATTCACTGTAACTTAGCAGGCAATTGTTGCCACCACCCAAGTCTTTATCTTTAGTGACAACATTGGGGAAATTGAGGTACTTCTGATCATCTCACAACCTAACATGCTTTTGTAAACTCTGCTGAAAATTGTGTCCTTTGAGCTTGTTGTAGACATGGAATGACAGTATTTTTGGGTTCTGCTGCTCATTTTTACCAATCCTCAGAGCTGAGACTCTGTGCCGCTCATTAAAATTACAGGGTAGTTTAAATGGAAATGGAAGGACAGAGAGCAGTTTTGATTTGGTATTAACTGAGGGCAAGAGGCAGAAAAGGAAAGTGGAGAATTAAGCAAGACTTGTCACGGCCTCGGATGCTACTAAGGACCTTGAACTTCTTTCAGAAATCTAAGGGAGCCATTGATGGTTTTTGTGCAGGGGAGACAAATGGTCATATTGACAATTTGAAATATTCAAGCTCAATTGTTTGTAATATCCCCATACTGAACATATCACTCATTGGTAAAGTAGAATTGTGATGTGAGCACATAATGGACTTCTATACAGTTATGAGAATGAGAAGAAGCTATTTTGATACTCACCAACATCAGTAAATACTTCCAATTATGTGAATGAAGTCTGTCATTGTTATGGTTAATTTTATGTGTCAATTTGGCTAGCCTATGGTGCCCTTTTTGTTTGGTCAAACACTAGTCTAGACGTTGCTGTTAATTTACATGTAATGAGCATTTAAATCACTTGGCCTTAAAAGAAGCAGATTTTCCTCCATAATATGGGTGGGCATCACTGAATCAGTCCAAAGCCTTTAGAGCAAAACTGGAGGTTTCCCAAGGGATGATGTGGCCTTCAGATTATAAATAAATGTTCCGCAAGAATTCTTTTCTTTCCCATACTACCTGACCTACCAATTTTGCTATATAAGACCACTGGAATTTCCAGCCTATTGCCTGACCAGAGAATTTTGGATTTGTCAGCCTCTACAATGGTGTGAATGAATTCCTCACAATTTCTCTCTATGTATACAGATCCTCAACTTACAACAAGGTTCTAGTCCAGTGACTCTGTTGTAAGTTGGTTCTGATGTGCTAAAGGGGAAGGGAGGTGGCATCTTCTGACCTCCTCTAATTCCACAAGAGGGAGACAGAATCACCATCAACAGCCCAAGGCCTGTTCCTATGAGGCCAGACATGCCTCCATCCTCCAGGCCTCTTACTATCCTTGACACCAACCGTCCCTCTCTCACAGCACCCACCACCTCTCTGCTGCATTGATAATTCGCCGCACTGGCCACACAGAACTCACAGATTACGGGTTTATTAGGGAAGCAACAGGCTACAATTCAAGTTCGGGAATGCACTCAGTCTCTGTCAGCAGGCAGTGAGAGATCCCTTCTGCCTCTAGGAGGGTTCATTCTGAGCCTAGCAGAGTGGCAAAGCCAACCAATGCCAACATCAGAGTTCTACACACCTGAGAGTGAACTTTCCCAGAAGATTACTTCATGCTGCTCCAACAGAAATACTCCAGGTGGATGACTTTAACAATCAGGAGTTTAAATCGCATGGTCACCCAGTAATCTGGTGGGAGTTACAAAGACTATGGCTAGAAAAGCCATACCACGTAATTTACTACACTGTGTGATGTAAGTTGAATACCTCTCTTTCTTCTTAGTTTTCATTACCATTGTCTTATATTGTCAGTATCTTTATAAATCAGATCGTTGAACACCTGCAAATAAACATCTGAGAATGATAACATCAGAAAATTAATACTACAACATTGTATGTAGTCATATTACTAATGATAAGATGTACAAAAAAACCCAACAACAGATAGTTGTAAGTATGGTTGGCCATAACTCAAATATGACATGTACCTGTACATGTATATTGGGTTCTGTTTCTCTAGAGATCCCTAGGACTGTCACCAAAGAGTATATACTGCTCGATTTCATTTTTGTAAACATGAAACAAACAAATTAACCTCTAGTGTTAAAATCAGGATCATTGTTATTTTTTTGTGGGAGTACCAACTGGAGATGCATGGTAGGTTTCTTTTATGGTAGTCATGTTCACTTTCTTGATCTGATTGATAGTTTAATGAATGTATTCACTTTGTAAAACTTGATCAATGCTTCATGTGTTCATCTTTCTAGATGATTTTCCTTTTAACTTCAGTAAAATTTTTATTATTTTGAAAAGTTTCATAAAAATAGTGTTGTGGATGTTTTGGGAGATGTGATAATAGGAGAGGTTGGGAGAACAGTGTGGAAAAGAAAAATCTGATCAATGAATCAATTAGAGGTAACAGGGTTTCTTGAGTGAGAAGCTGTTGGCAAATGGAGTGTCTAAGCTGAAAGTGACAAGTGTGCACTGAAGCATCTTGAGTAGAGTTTTCAAAGGCAGCTGAAGATTTCCAGCTACTCCTCGGAAGGAAAATGAGGCAATCTACTTCCATAGTGATACTGCCTCGGAAACCCAAGGAGGGGTCTCTATGAGTTGGGTGTGACTTGATGGCACATAATATCAACAAGATTTCCAGCTGGGGAAGTTAGAATGATTAGGATTTAAGTATGTTCTCAATTGAACAGAGAGTTTTACAAACAAATGTGTGTATGGTGTGGGGTATGTGTGTGTGGTGCAATGAGTTTCTTTATATGTCTTTTGCCTTAGCTCTTTGGCAAAACAACTTAGAGGATTTTCCCCCATAAACATTTGGTGGCCTCTGAGGAGTTGTTACCATTACCTTAGTTCTTTGGGAAAAACAATTTGGGAGACTTTCCAAGTTGTTTGCTACCCCAGAGTGTTTGTTACTTTTTGACCAGGGAGAGGAGCTGGTCTCTGCTGGCAGAGAATGTTAGCTTTGTATAAGACTTAAGTTTATTGACATCTCCTGGTTGTTGAGGATTGGTTGGGCTCCAATCTGGTGAGGGAGGCCCCACCTTGTAACTGATGAGGACTAGTATATATAAAGGACTGAAACGCAGAAAGTTTTGGAATCTCTCCGTCTTGGAAAAGAGCTGAGAGGGAAGCATATCCTCTGGGACACAGAAACCCTGAACTTAAAACCTTCCAGAATCTGGTAAAAGGGCTGCAGCAGAGAGTTGAGCAGAGCAGAGCTGAGAGCTGCTACACTGGCTATGAGCTGAGCCAGTTAGTAGTTGACACCAGTGCTGGGAGGTGCAGAGAAATGGCAGAGAGGCTAACAACAGAGAGGTTAATGGCCGAGAGGCCCAATGGTGGAGAAAATCCAAACTACAGAGATGGAATGAATATTACTGGTCGACAGGGGATGAGGAAGGAGGAGATGTTGACTACAAAGAGGTTGAATGAAGGATTTGATAGGGCAATGGACTTGTTCTGGATGGTACTATGGTGGTGGATACATGACTTGATGCCTCCTCAAAACCCATAGGACCATACATCATAAAAAACAAACAAACAAACAAACAAAACCCACCAAAAACCAAACTCACTGCTGTCAAGTCAGATCTGACTCATAGTGACCCCTCTTTGGGTTTCTGAGGCAGTACCTCTACAGAAATAGATTGCCCAATCTTCCTTCTGAGGAGTGGCTGGT